TAACTCCTTAGTATCTTATCGTAAGGTATATATAAATATTAATTAAGATTTTATCGGGTAGTAATAATAATATCTAAAGTAATTTATTCTTAGTAAGTCCTTTTCTTATTTCTATAGTATAATTAATAAGTATTTCTTTATTATATTTAGATACTTAATCTAGTATTTTATCGTAATATATAATATTTACTTCTACCTTAAATATAAGAAAGTTAAGTATTATTTATATATAGTTCTTTTTATTATTTTTCTAAAGTATCTAGCCCTTAGCCTTTAATATTTTTATATTATAATCTAATTAGCGGCTAAGTATATTTACCTTATTATTCTCCGATCCTTTCTAATAAATAATCTTAATATTATATTTAGCTAGGAATTTAGCGTATTATACTTATCGTAAGCTAAGTTCTTATATTATAACGAAGTAAGAAATATTTTAATAATCGGTATAAACTTTAGTCTTAAACTCTATTCTTAGTATATAATATTTAAATTCTTTAATAACGGCGATAATTACTAGGAATTCTTTATCGTAGATAAGGTAGTTTAATTCCGCGTTATAAAGTTTCTTCGAAAAAAAAGCGATTAATTATATATTATTATTATTATCTTATTAGCTAATTTATATCCCTATAGTATAATCCGATATATTAGTTTCTAGTTCGAGTAATCTCTCGGGGTTATAGGTTATAAATATAATATTTAATAAAATACTATCTTATAATATCTTAAAAGCTTTTTTTTATTTTTTTTTAAAATAGAATTTTTTTTTATTTTTTATAAGTTCTATAAGTAATATCGCGATCTTATTAAAGTCTTATATAAAGCGTTAATAATAGTTCGCGAATCTTACGAATACTTATATTTCCTTAAGATTATTTTTTAGTTCTAGTTAGTCCTTAATTATATTTATTTTTACTTATTTTATTAGGATTTTATTTAGTTAGATCGTATATCTAAGGAATATAATTTCTTATATATAAAACGCGTATTTTTTTAGGTTAATTAAAAAGTTCGTATCTTAAAGTATTTTTAGTACTTAATAAATATATTTCTTATATTCTTTAAGGTTCTTTAAGAAAATTAAAATATTATTTAAATATATTATAATAAAGATATTTAAGTACTCCCGGAGTATATTATTAATTATTCGCTAGAAAATAATTAAAGTATTAATAAGGCTAAATAATATTATTAAATACTTAAATAAACTAAACTTAATATAGAAAGTTATTTTCTATTTATTTTTTTTTATATAGATTAAGTTATAAGCTTTTTTTAGGTTAAGAGTAATAAACTAATTCTTATTATAAAGTCTATCCTTTAGCTTATTAATAAGTAATAAGGGTATCTTATCTTTAATTATAATATTATTAAGCTACCGATAATCTATAATTAATTATAATTTCTTATTTTTCTTTAATATAAATATAATAAGATACCTTATTTCTAAGGTAAAGGTTCGAATATAGCCTTTCTTAAGTATTTCGTCGATATATTCTTATAATATCTTAAATTACTTTTAGTTAAGGTTATAGAGTTTATAGAACTTAGTTAAAGTTCTAGTTTTAAGATAGATTTCGTAATCCTATTAATTATATTAAGGAATACCTATTTCGAGGTTTTTTTTTTAAATAACTTACTATACTTATAGTATTCTAGAGGTATATTCTTTATTTTTTTTTTATTATAAGTTTTTTTTTTCTTTTTATAAAGCTTAATTTATTTCGAATATCTTTTATATAATATTAATAATAATTTTTTTTCTTTATTTATATTATATACCTAGTTATAAAGCTTTCTTAATTAATACTATAGCTTTTACTTACTTCGGCTTACTTATATCTTCTTATAAAGATACTTTAGAGGCTAAGTTATTACGAATATTCGCTTTTTTTTAATTAAATAATAATTATCGCGTTATTATATCTATCTACGCTAACTAGCTAGTACGCTAATTAACTATTAGATTATTTATTATTAACTATAAATAACCTAATATTATATTATATTTATATAAGTCTATAATATTAAAGATAATTATCTTATAGTATCCTTATATCGTTATATTAAGATAATCGGTCTCGCGGTCGATAGTTTTATTATTATAATCGAAGCTTTAACCTTCGATATTAAAAAGCTTATATAATCGGGTCTTATAATTCTATAGTAATATATATCGGTTAATTACTATTAATAAGATATAGTTACCTATTGCCTTATTATCTATTAGTACTTATAAGTAATATTTATTAATCTAGACTTCTAAAATTATTTTTTATCCTTTATTTATTTTTATAGAGTAAAAAGTCTTTAGGTTTTTTTTATTATCTTATACCCTTTCTATAGGCGATATTAGTAATTTTTTAACGGGTAGTATTCTATATCGATATTATTATCCTTAAGGTTATATATATAATTATTATTATATAACTCTAGGTATATCGAGGGGTATTATTTTCTTTCTTCCTTATATAAGTAATATATATACCTATAGTAATAGACTCTATAGTTTAATATATATCCTTTATAATACTTATATATAATATACTATATATATACCTTTCCTTATAGAATAAAGTATTCCCGTACCTTAACCTTATATTATAAGCGTAGTATTTCTTTCGCTTTATTATATCTTTTATAGTTTATCTTACCTTAGTTAATATAATTTCGATCCGCTTATTTAGTAAGGTTAAATAATAATCTTATACTATTAGGGTATTTTTTATATCCCTTATACTTTTATTTATAATTTAGGGTATATTCCTTACTCTTAATTATCTTAATATTAAATAATACTTTTATAATATTCTTATATTATTAGAGTTCTTTTATTTTTTTTTTATTTTCTAGTCTTATATTAATTAAATACTTTCTTTTTAGTATATTATAGGTAATTTATTAACTAATATTTATGCTATATTTTCTAGTCTTATATATATACCTCGGGGTATTTTATTAATTACCTTAGTATTATATATCCTATACCGGGTTTTATATATATATACTTATAAAACTTTACTTCGCCCTTTAGATATAAGTTATTAATAATATAGGTAGCTAGTCCTTTAATTAAGTAAACCTAATACTTTCCTTTATTAATAATATAAATCTTATAGAAATAATATATATAAGAGATCTATAAGATTTCGTTATATCCTTTCGCGTTAAGGTATATTTATAAGTTATCTCTTAGTATTATTTTTTAATTTATTATTTAATTAATTCCTTTATTTAATATCTAAGTAAGGATAACTATCTAAAGATCTTCCCTTTATAATAAAGGGTTATACCGATTTATTATTATTTTTATCTATATTTCTAGAGTTACTCGCTTATATAATAAGTTAGTCTTAAGCGCTTATTTTTTATATAATAACTCTTCCCTATTATCTATAGCGTTAGTAGATTTATTTAATAAATCGCTATTACCCTTAGGGGTTATAGTAATTTTATATATAATAACTAAGATTCTTACTTTTAATACCTTTAGGAACTATCCTAAGTTTTCCTTACTTTCTTTATATATTAAGTAAGTATTATTATAATATCCTAATTAATATAACGCTTCGTAAGGTATTAGTTACTTTCTTACTTTTATTCTAGCTTTTTATTTACTTAAGATAAATACGCGGATATATTAGAGATATAGTAAGTGCCGGAGAGTATTTTTAAAAAAGCCGCGCTACTTTATAAGCTTTTAAGTAAGAAGAATAAAGCGCGAAAACTTACTTTTTAATATTTCTTAGGCGTCTCGATCTTATCGTTATCGTTATTATCGGTGCTCTTATAAATATTAGTCTCCTTAGTAGCTTACTTAGTGGCTAGCCGACGAGCTTCTATTACTCGGACGTAAGTCTAGGTAAGGCGTTAGTAAGATAAAAAAGCTACTTGTATACGTTAGCTAAGCTTAGAAAACCTAAATTAAGTATATTAAATATATAAATAAATATAATAAAAATAATATAAAAAAGAAATATTAAATTCTAGCTTTTAGTAAAAAAATATAACTTTTTTATATACTTTCGGCCTCTTATTTTAATACTTTAAAAATATTATTTAAGTTATAAATAGCTTATTAAGGCTTTAATAATTATTTATAAATAATAATAATTAAGGGTATTATTATATTACTAATACTATTTATAGGACTTAATAATATTAAATTAACCCTATATAAGTATTATAATTATTATAATAACGCTCTAACGCCTTAGATTAAGTAAAGACCTTACCTTAGAACCTTATTAATTAATAATAATAATAATACTCGCGTGATTAAATAACTATATAAATAAAGGGTATATAATAATAAGCCTACTTTATAGCGGGGCTAGGCTCGATTAAGATTCTACTATTAACGGTAAGAAAGTAATACTAAAAAGGTAAGAACCTAAAATAATAAAGCTAGAGGTAAATAACCTAGAGTATAAGAAATAAGAGAAAGATACTCTAAGAGGATAGGTTTATATAATCAAAAAACGTATAAAATAGCGCCTTAACGGCTATCTCTTTTGTAATAATATAAGGCACTTGAACAACCTTCTCCATAGCGCATCACACCTATTAACCTTGAATCTAAGCTTGGCGCTTCCCGGAGTGTCTACCTAGTCTGGCAGTCAAGCACGCCTAGATCGATGATGGGCACCCGGGCAGACGAGTGAGCGACGAGTCTGCTCCCACGTGTTTGCGACAAAGCACCACTCGTCTGCGTGGATTCAGGTCGAAGCGGCAAGGGTGGGCGGGTACATATGGACCATGGTGATGGTGTGGAGGGTCGATTTGAGCTGGTCGTGTGGGTGGACAGATAGCGCGGCTGCGCGCGCGTGTTGAATCATGGCATGGTTCCTCTACGATGAGTGAATTCGATGGATCGAAGGAGGGCTCTAGGGCCGCAGATGTGATTTGGGTGAGAATTCTAGGATGCCACACGCGTGACGACAGAGTGGGAAAGGAACGCGACTTTGCACGTGCGCTGAGCGCGTGCCCTCGCTGGAGCCTGGCACTCTCAGACTCAGTGACTCCGCCATAATTCGACGACATCCCTCCAACGTCCAACCCTCTCCTTCATCAGGTTCTTTCCCCTTTGATTGCCCATTCACGTTGGCTTACTCGCTCTCTGTATCGTTGCTTTCGAATCTCTAGGATTCTTTCTCTCTTATCAAACTCCGGATACCGGACTGTCCAGACTCCAGAGACTTGCTGCAGACGGTCATCAAAACAACATACCCTGTATCATCTGCCGTCACTCTGATGAGCTTCTCGGCACGGCACCACTCTGGTACTGATACCGAAGGATCATCAAATACGGCGACCAGCCTACGCCGCACATTGTATCAGGGAACAAGTGTACTAGGCTCAGAGGAGCAACCCCAAATCATGTATGTACTATTGACAGGTCGTCTGGACGTTATATTCAAAGGTTTGCACCTGAGATCTCAGTACACCTTCACTCATAGATATAGCAATAGGGAGTTCCACCTAGGGTGTTGAAGGTGTCCTTGATCTTCAAGTGCGGGCCGAGAATACCGACATCAAGCTCGTCTTCGACAGTGCCGTTGCGGCTGGGGACAATGTTCATGTACGTGAGAGTTCCAGCCACAGTGTTGGCCTCCTTGGGGTGAAGGGCTTGCCACATCCAGTACAGCTTGTCCACCATGGCGTGGTGAAGGTAGAAGGCCGGGTCATTCAGAGAGGTGAAGACGTCGGACCCATCACCACCCATGGCGTAGTGGCCGGCGCCGTGCTGGCTCAGCGTACCGGCCGCCTGGAACTCGTTCTGCATGAGCTCAACGGTGTGCGAGTGATCGCCGGCGAGGAGATCGTAGAGACCGTCGACCGTATAGCGTTCCGAGGCAGCATGGACGAGATCACGGCGCTGGCAGCGAGGGTTGTAGTCTCGCTGGTCTTTCATCCAGGGTTCGTAGCCGTTCATAGCAGGGCGGATGGGGCCGATGTTGATTGTGTAGCTGTTGTGAACCGAGATTAGCCACCACGAGTTGCCAAGCGAAAGAGGATAAGTATTATGCATCCACTTACCCGACAAACGGACCATCCTTGATGCAGCCGCCACCCTCTCCGGGGCAGATGCACCGTCCTGCCGCCGACGAGACTCCCGTTGTGAGGGAAGTATTCGCCCGTGCTACCGAAGCTGGTGTCGCTGCCGTCGAACACGGGAGAAAGGTGAAGGGCGGATTGGTACTTGTACCTATAGATCATAAGCTTCCCCCCTTGTCATGAGAGTGGGACATGAGAAAGGAGGGCAACGAACCAGTTCCAGTACGGGAGAGCGCCCTTGTACCCGCACTGGTCACGAAGAGTGTCCTCCCAAAGGGCAATCAAGTATCGATGCCAGGTGAAGAAATTGGCCGTACCGTGGACAAAGTCCGTCACGTTGGCGTGAATGGCCACGAATTCATCGAAATAGTTTTGCGCTGCGGAGAACTCGGTGTCGACGGCGGGGAGGTCCCAAAGACACTGGACGGCCTTGATGTACCCCTTGCGCTCGCATTTACTCATATGCTCCCTAGTGACGAAACATGATGAGCCATAGAAGCAAGGGAGAGAGAAAACAGACATACCAGTCGCGTCGAACGCGGGCGTTTTCGAGAGTGCATGAACCCTGTTCACTGCGGCGCTGGAGATCGGCCTGCTGAGATTCCAAAGCCTGCATAGCCAGGTCCCGGAAATCTTCGACGCTCTTTGCGCTCTGGATCTCTTCGGTCGTCGGTGCCCGCGGCGCAAGGTTGGGCGCGGCCATGACAAGACCAGAGACCAGCGCCAGTGCGCTGGTCACGCCGGAGACAAAACGCATGGTTCACGAGTAAAGAGAGTGAGTCGAGGGGACGTCAGGCCAGCAGTAGAAGGAGAATCTCAAAGCCACACGCAGAAGAATGAGCGAGTTTGGCTGCCACGTGGTAAGGGGACTGCGGGAGACCGATACTTATACCGTCGGATGAATTGACCGGCTCAGTCGAGACCTTCTCGAGACCCGCAGGAAGATGACCCAAGGCTCTGGTCAATGCACCGCAAGGCGTGGTAAGTAATGATTCTCGGTAGGTCAGACTGAACTCGCAAGAGGGGCGTAGTCGGGGAACCACTTCGTCCTCGGCTGGAAGTCACCAACGTGCACCTTGTGGAAGACTACAAGGAATATCCGTACTAGAGCGAGGAGCGGATGAGGGAAGGCAAGGGTCCAGGGGTCGTGGCAAATCTGCTTGGAGAGGGGAGATGCAGTCTGCAGGGATGCATGATGAACTCTCCGTTCTGCACTCCTCCACATCTTTGCCTGTTGTTTGATGCAGCGTCTGGGCCTGTCGTACGCGCTGTACATGTAGCAAATGAACAAATTAGATCCCGCAGGAATGCAGACAATCAGCCTCCCCTGAGCCTGGCCAACAGGCGGATGCTTTGAAATACAGACGAGATGCTAATTACGACAGAGGCTGGTTGGAATTCGCTACATGTACGAAACTCTGCCAGATCGTGGGAGCTGCTCAAGGCCAAAGAGCGAAAGTCAAGGCCCTTTGGTAACACTTTGCTTCCGGCTTGCCGGGATGCGTCTGATACTCCAAGTACTGCGAGGACCGGGCCAACAGCCATCCGCTTGATGCGAACAAATGTCCCTGAGGGTCACGAATCATGATTCAGCCTTGTCTTGCGTTGCACCGGCTAAAGGCAGGCACCTCTTGGCTGTACATGCAGGTACATGGGATGGGGGTGTTCTAGGACTTTTCCTCGAGGTACCTTAGATATCGTCCTCGAGGATGGATGTCAATCACCGCTGGCGGCCCTTCCCCTCCGCCAAGCTGTGCGGTGTCGGGTCGGGCCCCGGGGAGACTGGGAGGAATACCCGCGGACATCAAAACTGGGTTTCCATCGACCAGGGGTCCGGGGCCCCGGCAGCAGGGTACAGGCGGCGGCTCGATGTCACCTCAGACTCAGAGGCTCGCTTACAGCCTTACACACAATGTGCTTGAGAGCCAGGGGCTTTTTCATCAGCCTGGATGTGTTCTGAACTTCCAATCAGGCACCCTGGCTGGCTTTAGCCCAGTATGATCAAACCCAAACTTGCTTCCTTCGCTTCGAGCGAGCCGTGTTGCGCATTGGGGGCAAGGGGGCGTGTGTCTGTTCAGGGAACTTTGACCAACAGGTTCCTACGCATAAGGAACGGCATGCTGGATATCATGTTTCTTCCCCCAAGGCTGGGAACAACGCTCGACAAAAGGAGGCAAGGTGGAAACAGGTTCCGGCCACATACGTACAGAGGGCAGAGGACAGAGGGCGACATGGAGTGCAACAAGGCCTAGACCATCGGCCTCTGGAGGCGAGCATCTTACTACTCTAAAGAAAAGGAGCTGGGTGTGCATAATATCCTGTCCCAGGACCTTGAGTGGCTATCGCCTGACTTAACTACTTGGTTGCTTTTCCCTCTCGTCTGCTCCCGCTTCGATTTTGTTCTTTGGTTCTATGCATCATGTCGAATTCTGGGCCATCGTCGCCGCCGCGTCGGCTGGAGGACATGGACCCTGACTACATCAAGGAATCAAAACTTTGGCGACATGATGGCCGTGAATGGTGTCGTCCAGTAAGTTCTGTCCCCAAGCCCAGCCAGCCGTGGGAAACCGACTGGAGGCAAGCATTGCAGCCATGGGAACCTCGTCTTGACTAACTCGGTATTTTTTTCACGCTTCAGCGGTGTCGCCATGATTTTTTCATCCTTCGAATCTATACTCGCGGCTTCATGATCAAATCTTTTGGCTACGACGATGCGATGATGATCCTCGCCTGGGTATGTGCCGAGCCCCTTGACGACCTTGCCTCACTCCGCCAGGGAGCACAGACTGACCACAACATGGGATCACAGGCTTTCCTCTTCTGCGGCGGTATAGTAGCACAGATTTACGCCGGAAATAACGGCGCCCTCGGGCGCCACAAGGACGCGGTGATGGCCACCGATCCTTCCTTGATGGAAGTGTACGGCAAGATGTCTTTCGTCCAAGGCATCTGCGTGACAGTGACGGCCAACTGCCTGCTGAAGCTTTCCATCGGCATGTCCCTCTTACGCCTCAACTCCAACAAATGGTACAAACGGATTGTTTGGAGCCTTGTTCGTACGTTCACCCACCATCGAGTCCACTGGACTGCCCACCCCCTTCTTGGAGCTTGTCACTGATATTGATGCCCGCAGTCTTTGTGATCTGTTACTTCATCGAGGGCATAGTCACCGTCATGGCGTACTGCGATTCGCTCGAGGCGCATTGGGACCCCAAGGTGAAGGAGACAGCAAAGTGCTACTCGGAGGACCTGCGCAACACCTTGGGAACCATAAACACCGCATTCAATGTTTTTACCGACGTCATATTCGCCAGTGTGCCAGTGCCCATGCTGTGGACTCTTCAGACCAAGCTCAACGTGCGCCTCTATCTGATCGGTATTTTCAGCTTGGGTTATCTGTATGTTTGCCATGCTTTCATGTTCACACACTCCCCGCTTCTTTCTGCGTATCTTCGTTCGGGGAACCAAACTGATTCCATGGCAGTACCGTCGCCGTCGGCTTGGTCAAGATGTTCTACCAGCTTACAGGCCGTAACGACCCAGACAAAACGTTCAACAACAGAGTCCAATTCTACGGACTGTAAGTGTTGTCTTCGCCCCTTATTGCCCTTGTGGCTGTGAGCTAACTCTAGAATGATATAGTCTTCAACTCAACGTCGGCCTTCTCACCGCGTGCGCCCCGATGATCAAGCCCCTTGTCGCGAAAACACTCGGAATTCATTCCTCGTCCGCCGTCTCCACGGCGCCAGTCTACGCCAGCAGTAGGAACAGACAGAGGCCCAACCCAGCGGGCTACGTCCGCGAGGACGGCGACCACGGCTTCGAGCTCGCCAAGTACGACGACGGGCAGTATCACACCACCACGGTCAGAGGAGGAGGCGGCAGCGATTCCAACAGTGAGACGCATATTCTTCCGGAGGGGTTGGGGTCAAAAGGCGTGATGAAAACTACTCAAGTCATCATAAACCGTGATCAAGAAAGGAGGACAAGCTCGCGCAAACGGCGCTTCCTCTTCGGCAAGGACAGATTTATGATAATATACGAGCCGCGAGTGGATGTGATTTCTTGTACCAACAGCGTTGGGAGGATATGATGGACTCCAATAAAAGACCGATCGAATTCATACAACTATACTTAGGCGTAAGAGGTCGCAAAGCAGGCATGACGTCCAGTACTTTGTTGACTTCATATGGCCCAGACACACATATCCAGACATGTCCTTAGTGTGTAAAGAAGAAAGGGGTACGTATTGCAAGAACTATATAAATCTAGATTTCAGCTCAAGCGAATACATACATGATACGACCATACGTGGTCCAAGAAGCTTCTGCCTGAATGATGCATATAAGCGCTGCACATTGTCGATCACGCTTATTCATCTTATTCAGCCTATTCTTGTGAATGCGATTCCCCGATTCCCAGTCACTGACACTATCACTTTTCCCTTCTCCACCTTCTCTGGGCTTCCTCGATGTTCACAACGAACAAGTCACAACGTAAAATTCAGCATTATGGATCCTGGAAATGAGATTTTACTAAGAGAAACACCCCTCACAAAGGTGTTGTGTGAAGAACACGCCATCATCACGTCATTACATATCGGTGATGGCTTTCTGCTCGTCGCCTCTGCGAAAGGGTGCCTCTACAAAGTTGATTTGGCGGTGGAATCTGTAGAGGTGTTGGCAGAGGTGAACAGCGTGTGGAGCCTTGCTTGCCAGGAGGAGACGGTCATTTTTGGCACTTCACGCGGTGAAATCCATGTTCTTGACATGAACACTCGGTATGTAAGGCCAGCGAGCATTCACCACGGACAGCGACTGACAAGCAACATCAGGGCACCCTCGCACACGATCCAAGGTCATGAGTCACTTGTCCGTTGTCTCACCATCCTTGACCGTAGCACCGTTGTTTCCGGCTCACGAGATGGTACGATTCGAATCTGGACCCTCGAATCCGGCCAACTCCAGCCAAAACCTGTCCTCCGTGGCCATACGGCCGAGGTGCGGAACATCCAAACCTGTGGCGAGAAGATCGTGTCCGCCAGCTACGATACAGACACCCGCATCTGGAGTGCCCAGACAGGAGAGTGCTTGCAAGTTTTGCACGGTCATCAAGGTCGAATTCATGGACTCGCGTATGATGGGAAGAGGGTTGCCACGAGCAGCACAGATGGCGATATTCGAATCTGGGATCCAGAAACTGGGTAAGTATCCACCTCAAGTCACTTCATGTTATCTGTGCATGTCTAATTCTATGCCTTTCACAGAACCTGCAGAGCCATATTCAAAGGCGACGGACACAACGCCAGTTACGTATCCCTTCTTCGCCTGGCGGGAGATGCTCTTCTCTCAGGTAGCGCAGACGGATCCGTTAAGTCATGGGCCTTGGATCCAGTAGATGACAGCCCGCGTGAGCTGTCCAGGGCGGACCAAAATGGTGGCGCGGTCACCTCCATGCAAGTCCAAGGGAGACATGCCATCGTCGGCACTTCGTCAGGCGTCGTCAAGGTCATTGATTGCGACTCCGTGGAGACGCTACACTGTTGGAAAGACGGGGCCTGCGGGCTCGCCGTCTTTCGAGTTGGCTTCACCCGAGAGCACAGTCCAGTGGCGGCTTACTTGAAGGAAGAGTCTGTCTGTTTGACGCTGTTTTAGTAAAAGAGTGCCCGAGGATTCGGAGTGTGCCGACTTTAGCCAAACCTAGCATGGTATGCCATGCTGACCGGAACAGGCGCAAAGATGACAATGGAGACGATTTGACCGAATCCCCAACTATCCCCCTCGTACTCCATGGATAGTACATATGACAGTTCCCGCTGAAGGTGCCGTAGGTAAAAGATTGCCCAAAGAAGGGGTAATGAGAGCCCGAGCGGGACCAGAAGGGAAGGCCGTTGCGTAGTATGGGTGCCTGCTGAGCCATTGTCTCCAGACGTGGTGCTGGAAGATCAAGTCCTGCCACCGGCTGCGCCCCGCGAGGTGGCGGGAGCCAAGGAGACCAAGATTTTGCCAAAATGTGAAGAGGTAGACGATGATCATAGCGGATAGCCCTACGGCTCCGATAGACCCATAGACACGGTTCTTTTTCAGACCCCGGAGACCGTCGCTGAAGCAAATACTTTCCACCTCGACCCAGTCGTCCATATAGATCACGTCGCCGTCGCTGGTCCGCATGGGCGTGTTACTGAACCAGTGGATGCAACGTGAGACAAAGGTGTAGAACGACAACGAGGCGGCCACATTGAGCAGGAATACGCGCATGTTGTGCTTGGCAGGCTCGTCGGTAGCGTTGAGCAGGACAATAGGGTACAACAGGGGCAGCATGCAGACGACCGAAACGATCTGGGTAATCTTTGACTCAATGGCCTCAAAGTTGGACGCGCTAATGCCAAAGTCCTTCATAGAGAGGAAGACAATGGTGGCGAGCGGCGCCGAAATAGCAAAGTAGGCTGCCGCGTCAAAGAAGGACTGCAGCCCGGCCGTCACGACGGAGAGACGTTTTGGATGCGTCTTGGAGCTCCTGACTAGGAGGACTGTGAGTGCCGGCAGTAAGATGCCCAGGGTGGCATCAACCCTTATCTAAGGTACGGTAAACAAGCTTCGCTACTTCTAAATCTTAAACTTTGGCCAGGTGTTGTTTACCTTACCTTAACTACCCCCGCGCACTAGGTACCTACCTTATAAGAGTCTTCGGCCTCCCGTTCCCCTCGATTCACTTTCTTCCTCCTTCATCACCTACCTTATCACTTACCACATCACGAACATCACTATGGACAGACCGACCACTACCGCCGATCTCCATGAGATAAATGAGTTTCTCCGTGAGACAAACGAGGTTCTCCGTGAGACAAACGAGTTATTGCAGGCACTATTAGTCAAGGATTCATACACCTCTACCATCGAAAACTCGTCTCTGTTGCGCCGTTTCCGGCCACCAACTCGGCATCATATCGCAGTGATCCTCAATAATATCATTCACTTCTGCTGTTAGTTATGGCGGGGTTTCTGCGTACAACAAGTACAAAATGTTGTGAGTGACTGGCAGGCCAGTGACCGCCCTGCTTACGTGTAATCAGGCTGCACATTCGGCCCACAGCTGCTCTCAAAAGGCAGCATCTTCGTGCTATCGCGTTCTTCCTCTTTTCTTAGCATAAGCATCTTCTTCAGATAGTGAATATTCATTCTCGCTGTTCTGATCTGCTGTTCCTCATCATACAAAAGGCTTCCTATTCGTTATACTCCGAAACGACAATTTTCTCCTTGTCGATGACTTCGATCCCTGCTTCTTTGAATGCTTTGACCAAGACGGCTGCGCCATCCCCACGACATGGGTGGAGGACAACATGGCGACGGCAGGATCTGACGTCCTGGCATGGTAAGGCGCCGCACCGGCGGCTGTCATGTCGCGATCAGTGACAGCGGCTGATGATGATGATGATGACCCACTCTGCAGCGCGGGTGTCAGCTCAGCATGTATCACCTACAAATGGCCAGATGCCGTCGCTATCTCGTATGGATGCGGCACGTCTCGCACCACGGTGACGGTCGAGTTCCCCGAGACCAGCAGCGACACGAGCGCGACAGGGACACGCAAGACGGACGAAACAAGCGAGGCGCCAGGGACGACACAGACCGATGTACCAGGGGATTTTCATTCCGAGACGGGCAGGGTACCCCTTCTTGCTCTGCGATACAGCCATGTCTGACGCGACGCAGACCTCGAGACCGCGCAGCGAATCGGCGCGGGCGTGGGATCCGGCTTCTTTGGGCTCCTGCTTCTGGCCTTCTTCATGTGCGCTGCTGTTTCTTCAATCTGCCCGATTGTACTGTGCCATGCTAATGTAGACAACATACAGCATCTTCGGCTGTTGGAGGGCTCCGCGACGAATCACCTGCCCTCCTGATCCGAGTCAGAGTGCAATACAAAGTGCTACAATCTGACAGACCATTCTGGGCTCTTTGTCCGTCCTCACCCGGGTCAGGTCAGGCCGGACTCGACAGCTAGGGTCCGGCGAAGCACGCTGTGAGTACCCGGCATTAGGTAGACCGTAGACGACTGGAGTTTGTTGTGAAGCCTTGATAGAGATCATTGGTTAACAAGCTAACACATGTGACTATACCTACATGTAGTATAAAAAACGGGATTTGTCTAATTCTTCTATTCTGTGTAATACCTTCTATTGCTAGAGGTCTAACTTCTAAGTTCTGAACCCGATACCTCTAGAAATACATGCTGTAGAACTAGCATGGTACTTTGAGCAAAAGAGCAGGTCGTATGTGAGAGGCGCAGTGTCGTAGCACATAGGCCGCGTTGTCGCGATTCGGAATCAGCACTAACCTTCGTTGCGGAGTTGGAGAGGAAATGTCGACCAACTTTGGCAACTCGTAGGAGTACAGGCAGGATAATCGTAAATTGACATCGGCAAGAGTCCTCCTCACCAAACGCTCCAGAAATTGATGCCGACTGCGCCCCTCGCGTTGACGCAGCGTTCATGTTGTTCCGCTCAACATGGCGTATCGTGATCATGGTGACATCCCAAGCAACATGAAGTCCCTTTTGTCGGGTACCAGAAACTCCCGATTGCAACACCGTAGTAGAAACATGGGTTGCGAACTTCCGCTTCACGATGCATGCGAAAACTTGGCTCTGCGACGTATGAGGCTCGTTTTTCTACCATTCCGGGTTGCGACGTCGTCAGCAAAGCGGAGGCTGTGCTTCGAAAGAATAATTGTATAAAGTAGGCTCCATGTTCGCTCTTTGGAGATTTGAAGATAATAATCTCAAAAGAGTTTACAACTCACACCACACCTCGAACCACAAAAACCATCACCATGACTGTCTTTGCAAGGCTTCTCGGGGCGGTCTTAACCGCCGGCTCACTCACCGCGGCGAGCCCCCAGGACGAGTACGACTATGTCATCGTGGGCTCGGGCCCGGGCGGTGGTGCCCTTGCGTATGTTCTTTCGCCCGTTGTAATGCGCCTAATAAGCACCTGAACTTGACTTACAAGACATAACAGAGCGAACTTGGCCGTGAGCGGACACTCTGTCTTTCTCATCGAAGCCGGCGGAGACAAGTCGGAAGACCCCTTGCAAATTCTGCCGATCCTGTTAGTACCCGTATGTGATCATGCCGGTTCCGCCTCTGAATAACACGATCAATGTAGTTCCCCTGTAGCCGCGGAAACACCTGGACACTCATGGCAGTTCTTTGTCGAGCAATATGCCGACCCCGATCAGGCTCGTCGAAGTCCGAGATACACCTACCGGACGACAAACGGGACTTTGTACTATGGACTAGACCCTCCCCTGGGGGCTGAACCGTACGCCCCATGTTTCTTAACAAAGTCATCGCGCTGCTGCTGACAGGCCTCCAGTCTAGGTATCATGTACCCAAGAGGTGCTGCTTTGGGAGGCAGTTCCCAGGTCAATGCCATGAACTTCATCTGGGCGCCCGACAACGAGTGGGATCACATTGCTAATCTCACCGGGGATGACTCGTGGCACCACGAGGAAATGCGCCGGCATTTCATGGCTGTTGAGAACTGCACCTATGTACCCGAGGGTACTGAGGGTCACGGCTTCGAAGGTTACATCGATGTAAGGAACTTGGACTCGACATGATAAAATGGAGCTGATATCAACTGTTTAGTCGAGCTTGGGAGATGGCGCCAGCATCGCGGCCAACGACAATGCCGCTCGCTTCATGTCGGAACTATTTCTTCAAGTTGAGGATATTGAGGTGGACGGCACCGATACCATGGTGGAGCTCCTCGACCGTGACATGAACGGTATCGAAAACGACCGCTACGAAGGCGGATTCATTTTCAACACACCCGCTGCTATTTCGCCCACTGTTGGCGGCAGAGCTAGCATCGCGAGACACATCAACAGTGTCGTTGCTGCCGGTCATCCTTTGACCATCAGCTTTGACTCCCTGGCCACCAAGGTCCTTACGAAGAAGACTTTCTGGGGCAAGCCCAAAGCGTACAGCGTGGAATACATGGTGGGCGAGGGACTGTACTCTGCGGATGGGCGGTACAACACCTCGCAGACTGCCGAAACCCGGACAGTCAAGGCCAAGAAGGAGGTCATTGTCTCCGGCGGTACCTTCAACACGCCCCAACTTCTCATGCTGAGTGGCATTGGCCCTCGCGATGAACTGCGGAAGCACGGCATCCCTGTTGTGGCTAACGTCCCGGCTGTTGTAAGTCATCCCGGAGCGATCCACGCCTTGATTCTCGGACTAACACGACTAGGGCAATTTTATGCAAGACAACTACGAAGTGCCTGCCGTCATCAATGCTGCTGAATCTTAGATGAACGACGTCGACTTGGACCCGTGCACTTACACGTTTGACGAACATGACCCGTGTTTTGTGCAGTGGCAGGAGACTCAGGACGGACCGTACTTGGACGTCGAGGTTTCACCATGATTTCTCGTACCAACGTCAGCTATAATGACGATTCGGATATCCTCTACCTTAGCACCCCTGGCTTTGGAGGGTTTGGCGGCTTCTATCCGGGGTACTCGAACATTACTATTACGCCGACGTCGTGGCGCACCCCCATCGTCAAGATGCAGACCGCCAACGCCGCAGGGACCGTCAAACTCAAGTCCGCCAACCCGAGGGAGGCACCAGCCATCAACTTCAACTATTTCACGGAGAATGTGGATACAGACCTGCAAGCGATCAGCGAGGCCTTGGATCTGTTGTTCAACGCCTTTGACGGGACCGGCATCCCGTATGAGATTGCTTACCCTGGCCCTAGCATCGATTGGAGGCAGGCGTTTATGGACGTGGCCTTCAGCCACCACGCATCATCATCGTGTCGTATAGGTCCTGCTGGTGACCTGGACTACTGCGTCGACTCCAAGTTTCGGGTCAACGGTGTTGATAAATTGCGTGTTGTCGACGCCTCCATTTTTCCCCGTGCACCCGGCGGTATGCCCAACGGACCAACCTTTACCATCTCCCGCAAAGCCTATGAGACGCTCATGGAAGGATCTTGAGTCCAGGGACACACGTATGAAATGGGCAGTATCTTTGTATTGAGAATAGTCGTATCGAGGCCGTGATAGTATGTAGTTGGGGGAGAATATCATTGGAGTTGTAGTCGTTTTCCCAGCTGACGATATTATCATTGGCATAATGCCATTCAGAGGCTTTGGCGTATATGAACCGTCCATCTCGACTCTCTACGCCATTAATAGGGCCTCGAGCGGCCAGGTTCCTACCGGGAAGTGATAATAAAGCTAGTTCAAACCGACGACAAGAAGAACGCTATCAAGCATCTAGATAAGGGACATTCTATTTGTTATTATATAATACCTTCTATTGCTAGAGGTGAATTTCTCCGAGCTTGGAACCTATGACCTCTCAAAATGGATGTCTTCAACTAGCATATGAAGCAATCCCCTGGCACACCTGGGGGCCAATTGCTAGCGCCTAGAGTCGTTCAGTTTGAAAAGGTAATTCAAACCATTTTGATGAAATTTCTTGGTATCCCCACCCCAGTGCGGTGGGATGGTAGATCAACAACTACCAGCTGTGTCAACCACCAATAGCACACACGTATTGTGCTATTGTTGGTTGACATAGTTGGTAGTTGTTGATCTATCATCTATGTAATGTGATGTATCCACCGTACCCCAGCCCCGGATCGATCATCGATTCGACCCGACGCCGCTTGCCCCTGCAGCCCTGCTGGGGTTCCCCGCTAGTGTCCCCACCCCACCGATCACACCCCCACACCGCCCCCGCGCGGCCCGACTCGGGACTCCCCCGCCTGCTGACGTCTTGTTAAAAACTTAAAATCCCACCGCTCGGTCCGCGGATGCGGCTGTAGGGCCGTATACAGACACAAGCCTGTCAGGAAATTTCTCGGGAGCCGATTTGCAGCCCGGGAAATGTGGCAGGACCCGCCGAAAACCTTTTGAGCATTCGGCGAACTCTGGAAAGTTTGTACTACTACAGCGACGACGGTCTGAAGAGCACACACCTGTATCCGTAGTGACCCCTGAGTCGTCTTAGGGGCCAAAAGTACGCTTTCTATCTCCAAGTTGCGCCTCGACTTGTCTGGGCAAGTCATCACTGGCATTCTGATGATAGTCGCCCAGAACATGCAATGGCTTGTAATTGTTGTATTGATCTTTCGAAGGAAAACAAAGTAGACTTTTGACTTTCCCTCCTCTTATAGACTGGGTGATTGTATGTAGAGCACACTTAGACGCCCACACAAATGTAGTAGTCTAGCCACAAGTTGGTGCAGTTCTCATCCAGCTCCGTGTTCCACGAGGCGAGATCCTCCAAAGTCACACCAGCCTCTTGGGAGATTGCCCACAGGTGTCGCCGTTGTAGAATTGCAGTGGTGGGCCCTAGTGGCTTATCCTCAAAATCCACAGTGCTCAGAGCCTCAGGCTGAACTGAACTGAGTCCATGTCCCTGTGGGGCCCCCCTTTGATTAATTACGTACGTATATGTTGGTCCTGTGTTGTTTGAAGTTGAACGTCGCGCCACCTCTCCCGTTCACAACTTCCCACTCTCTTGTCCCTTCTCTCTCTACATTCTCCCCCTGATTTGGCAACTACCCTTCAGCAAAGCAACATGACTGCTCTCCATTGCTGGCTGCAGCTTATCAGCTGGACTTCTCTTTTGGCCTTCGCGCAGGAGGCCGTGGGGGCCGTCACCAACTTCGACACGGGCATCGCAGAATTTGCCCCCATCTTCCCCCGTAACGAGACATATGCGCCCTCTTCGGTCTTGCCTTTTGTCTTTCTTTCCAAAACCCGGCCGTCGCTCGGTCAATGGTGCCTGGGATTTCCTTGTCTTTATTCAGGTGGAATGAGAGCACAAGTGACTGGGACGTCGCCGGTAAGCAACCTATGTATATGATAGAAGAGGAGCTGCCCGATGCACCGGACGACGAGCCCTTCATTGCCCACTATGCCTTTGGAGGGGTTTTCGATACCGAGGGTTACTGGAGTGGCTCGTGGAGCGTCACTTGGGGTAGCTGTACACAAGAGGAGGATCGCCCGGTTGAGCATAACCCTAATGGCACCACGGGCGGCGTACATTTCACGACAAAGGAAGGGGGACAGGATCCTCATGACTTTACAGAGGGCCCATGTTCAGAATCCGAGGGCCTTACGTGGAATATTACCGAAGTTGCCACGAGTCGCAGTGGCACTGACGTGTACTGTGCTTGGGTTTCCTCTACAAAGCCCGAAGCACGCCCGTGCGAAGCGCAAGTCGAGTCCGAGACGATGGAGAGCATCTTCTCCTCGGCTACAGAAGCCTACTGCGGCAGGGTGTATGGGCTCGAATGCCCCGAGGAGGACGAGGACGAGGACGGCGGCGCAGCCACGCGCGGGAGCTTCGCTGCTGCTTGGACAGCATGCGTTGCCTGCTTTGTGGGCGGAATGGGATTCCTTTTGGCGTAAACCACCACTTCAGACGACATAGTCATAAGATTTTCGACAACCGCTTGCTCGCCCATATCATTCAATATACACATATGATATCCCAGAGTACAAGGTTGGCCAGCTCGACAAGAGTGTGTCTGAGTTGGATGCAGCGAGCATTCGATCCCTCTCGAAGCAGATGCGTCGCTATCTTGAGAGTGGCTTTGGCCCTGCTAACGAAACCGGCATTCTCTTTGCTCAGTCAGGCCAGACTTCCCTGGGTCTCTACCTTGGCTCTGGACTCCAGAGAGAAGGCACTGGCTCAGCCGCCCTCGCTGCGTTCGAATCTTCGTTGTCCTCTGAGATGATGGCATCGAGCATTGCCCTCCAATGGTGTAGCCCCGATAAGGATGTAACTCATGCCTTTGGCGTGATGGCCACCACCAATCGCACATTCGCCCCCTTGTAGGACGCCATCAAGACATGGTACAACGCTTCCTGCCTGGATATCCCAGACGCCGAGGCGATTCCTGGCAAAGCCTACTTGGTGACTCCGCTGCTTGGAGAGCCCGTGAGGAACGAAACCTTGGGCACCTCCTTCAAGCGATCCGAGCCTAGGAGACTTGCGGCACGCGGCGAATGCGAGACGATCGAAGTGAACCAGGGAAACGGTTGCCCTGAGCTGGCTCCCCGGTGCGGTATCTCCGGCGACGACTTCACCAAGTATAATGATTACGACGATGATCTGTGTTCCACCCTGCAGCGTGGGCAACATGTCTGTTGCACTTCAGGAGATCTTCCTGACTTCAGCCCCGACCCCAACCCCGACGGCTCTTGCTCCACACATAGGGTCGGGCCTGAAGACACCTGCTCTTCCCTGGCTGCTGCCAACAGCCTGGACGCGGAAGATATTAAGGACTTCAACAAGAACACGTGGGGATGGAGCGAATGCGATCCTCTATACAGGGGCACTCTGATATGCCTTAGCCCAGGCGACCCCTCCATGCCTGCGACGGTTAAAGGGGCTTAATGCGGTCCGATGGTCCCAGGGACAGAGAGACCGACCGATGGCACCAAAATCTCTGATCTCAATCCGTGCCCACTCAATGCCTGCTGTAACACTTGGGGCTTCTGCGGCATCACAGAAGAGTACTGCACGGATACCAGCACGGGCGCGCCCGGTACAGCCAAGGAGGGAACGAATGGGTGCATATCGAACTGCGGTAACGACATCATCAAGAGCGACGCGCCCGCGGAATTCCGTAAGATTGGATACTTCCAGGGCTACAACCTCAAAAGAGCTCGTGTCTTGCAGGACGCTACTCAGATTGACGGCGCGGCGTGTACACATCTGCAGTTTGCTTTTGGCATGATTACGCACGACTACGAGATCAACGCCGGAGATTTGTACTCGCAGTATGAGTTTTGCGTTTGGAAGAGCATCCAAGGCCCCAAGAAGATTGTATCCTTTGGCGGGTGGGCCTTTTCGGCGGAGCCAACCACGCACACAATCTTTCGAGAGGGTACGAAGCCAGCGAACCGCTTGACACTGGCGACCAATATTGCCAACTTTGTCAAGGAGCATGATCTGGACGGTGTCGATATCGACTGAGAGTATCCCGGAGTACGTATTGGCCTCAGGACTGCACAATGGCTTTGCTAATTAGCTCATAGGCGCCCGACATTCCCGGTATCCCCCCTGGAGCCGAAGACGAGGGCCTCAACTACCTCAAGTTCCTTGTCGTCCTCAAGAACTTGCTGCCGGGCAAGGAGGTATCCATCGCAGCGCCTTCTTCCTTCTGGTACCTCAAGCAGTACCCCATTGACCGCATTGCAGAGGTTGTTTGTCGACTACATTGTCTTCATGACGTACGATCTCCACGGTCAGTGGGATGCTGGCAACTCGAACTCTCAGTCAGGCTGTGACAATGGACGCTGCTTGCGCAGTCAGGTTAACGTCACCGAGACGCATGATGCCTTGTCCATGATCACCAAGGCTGGTGTTCCGTCTAATAAGGTCGCCGCCGGCATCACTAGCTACGGACGCTCCTATAATATGGCCGACGGCGACTGCTACACTGCAGAGTGCTACTTCACGGGAACTCGCCTCTCTTCGGATGCCACCTTGGGCCCTTGCACTGGCGAGTCGGGTATCCTGGCCAATGCCGAGATCCTTGACATTATCGACGATCCCAGCCGCGTCAACCACAACTTTGTGGACGCAGATACGCATAGCAACGTCCTCGTGTACGATGGCAACCAGTACGTGAGCTGGATGAGCGAAGACGTCAAGAGCCAGAGGCAGACATTCTACCAGGCGCTCGGCATCGGTGGCTCCGTTAACTGGGCGATGGACCTGGAGAAACGTCGTGACCCTCCCGTCGGATCATCCAATTGGGCCATCTTCAAATCTCTTGTCCGGGACGGAAAAGATCCCGATGTCCGGGGCGACCGCAACGGAAACTGGACGGAGCTCAAGTGCGACGACCTTGCCTGGGACGACCTCACAAACCTCTCCCCCGAGGAGCGTTGGCACCAGATGGATGCCCCTACCGCGTGGGCCGATCTGGTCACCGTGTGGAAGGAGAACAAGGATGGCGCCTACGAGGGCCTCTCTAATGCCATTGGTCTTAACATGGGTCTTGACTATGAGTTCGATTGTGCGACTATGAGGAAAAATGACGGCTGCAGTGGACAAATCACTTGCGTGAGCGATGACCTTGGGCCTGGCCAAGGCGTTGCTGGGCTTGCCATCCTCCAGTCGTTTGTTGCTATCAACGGAGTAGGTCTTCTCGGAGCCCTTGACGAATTTTTACTAATGTCATGAAGATGTTCAGAACCGTCGACGACGCCATCACTGATTCAGCTTCTCTTTTTATCAACAACGCCCTTGTCAGCTTTGCCGACGACTTTGCCCCCGAGCCTCCAGAGGTAGATAACACTTGGACGCTCGTCCTGCTCGACATCCTGACTATTGGTGCTTCGGCCGTCCTTGGCCCCGTCTTTAAGAATAGTGAGCTCTACTTGTCTTCCGCTCCATAAACATCGAGTACTGACTATTCCCAGTTATTGCAGGGCTGCCCCGATTCGCAAAGGCTGGTTCCACTGCCGCAGCGAACATCGAAGACACGTCCATCCTCGCCGTCCAGCAGGGAACAACGCTGGCCAAGGACCTGCTCAGCACGCCTCCGTGAGTAACTCCGTGTCTCCTTGCGCGCTATTTCTGACAGTGGTGGGTAGGTCCGAATGGGACCAGGAGAACCAGGACGACTTCAAGGCGTACATCACGACGGCGCTCGGATCCTGGTCGACGATTGTCATTCAAAGTCTAGCAAAGCTGTTTGATGGCAGCGACGAGTCTATCGAGAGGCTGGGTGACATGATAGCGGACGGAACTTTTATCTCCGGCGGCGGCAGACTTGGCAGCTCCTGGGGCTACAGCGATGAATCTCTGGCGACGGAAAGCGATGTTCAGGTCCTGAGGAAATCCATTACCCGCAACTTCTTCGCCATGGCTATTCCCGAGATCTGGAGAATGTCAGGCACCTTTGGATTTGTCGTTGACACCGGTGTCGACTGCGATGACGACTTTTCCGATCTAAAGGATAAAGTCCTCGAGAAGACAAAGGTCTGTCATAACGGAAAGCAGTACTACTTGGCCGACCCTAGTGGCGATGCTAGTTGGGGCGACGACAAGTACTCCTTCTCTGTGCCACCCGGCGTGGACTCCCTAGGAGAAGATAGCCGCTATGGGAGTCTTACCGTCGAGGATATTGTCATCGGGTAAGTCCTTCTCTTTTATAATTTGGGCAACCTAACTAGAGGTACTAACGAATCTAGATCCCTTAACACGTACGAGGCTAATGGCGGAAACGGTGCCCCTCGTCCTAAGGAGCTGGGCGAGAATGAGATTAATAAGCTCGCCTTCACCGATGATGTGAGGGCTTCCGGTCTAATGCGCCTCCCAGTCTGTTCTCCTGAACGTGCATGGCGGGCGTGGTACTACGGAGATACTAGCGATGGTGACCACTACCCTTGCCACGTCTTGAAGGGCAGAGACTACTGCAGTAAGTCGACTTTCAAGAACCAGGGAAGCAACGCATCACCTCCTGTGGAAGATTGCCGTCAGATCATCAAAAACCTCGAAGGCTTGCCCGAGAAGGACTGGCGTGTTGATATTCTCGGAGGCCAAACGCAGCTAGCCAAGTCTGGCGAATGTGCCTTTGGCGCCGAAGCTAGGCACAGTCCCGACGGTAATATCTGGTTCCGAGTTGGATCGCAGGACATCATTGACCTTATCAACGACTCCATCAACAAGTTTGGCGACAGCGGTCGTGTCGGCGCCAAGGGAGACATGGACTGCGATGGTAATGCCCCCCAGGTTGAGCAGGTGGAGTGGGGTATCTACTAGACGGGGGAGTGCTATGAAGCAAGTTGCTTACTCTTCTAAAGAGGAGTCGCTATGTACCAAGTATCAACTTGTAGATCTACCTACTTGATTGATTGATCGATTGTTTGTAGGTCAGCGAGGTTCAACTACGTGGTACTAAGCGAGTGTCTCCTCAGCCTTGTCGACATTCAAGGTACGTAACGAAGTCGAATACAAGAGTGAAGACGCAACAGCTTCCCAGTGAGCTCCCCTTCGCCTCTATTGGCACATGCCTCAGCGTGAGTTATGGCCGAATTGAAAGAAATAGTCTGATATTCACTTCCACTCCACTGACTGAAACTATCTCATAGTGTCTGGGCCAGAATTAAGGACAGGGCCGCAGGTTGGCTAGGGACCGTCAGGAGTCAGGACGTATCAATGTCAACTGCCTCGACGCCTCTGTTTCCCCATAGACTTTGAGCGTACATGGATTGTTCAACCAGACCTTCCACAAAGCCTCTTTCCTGCTGACACTCTGTCGACTTTATCTTTAGGAAAGCAATGAGATGAGTGAGAGTTGCACGCTCATATACTGCATGTGCTAAATCCCACAAGTCCAGTTGTAATTGGGCGACATGGTCCAACAATCATGTCACACTCCTCGCAAAGTTCAGAATGTGCCTTCCAAGTTCCTCTGGGCATTCCAGGGGCATGAGATGACCAGAATCCGGGAGGACCGCCAAGGTAGCCCCTTTATTATTCCCGCAGACCTCCTGCTCAACACGTGCCAATGGCTCGACCACATCTTTCCCACCTGCATACACCGCAACGGGCACACTGATGTCTCTGGCAAGGCTGACGACGTCCTCCGCCATGGCATAGTTCAGCCAGCCCGCCTTGGCCCATTCACTGCCCCCTACCGCATCTGCCACGACGGCCTCAACAGTCACATCGGACAGACCGCCGGCAGAGAGGACATTGCGCACGACAAACTCAGCGCTCTGTGCCGTGTCGTACGCGTGGATCTGCTGCTCTCGCATGGTCTCTGGAAGAACAAGTGGTGTAGGCGGCGCTGGGGCGACGAGTGCCACACCGAGCAGACCAGAGACGGTACGCCGACCTGCCACTGCTGAGGCGACCTTGGCGCCCATGGAGTGGCCGACGACGATGCAGCGTCCAATCTTGCAGTGCGTGATGACGGCCTCGACGTCATCGGCGAGATGGGCGATGGAGAACGCGCCCCTATCGTCTGGTCCCGTGGATTGACCCCAGCCGCGGAAATCCAGGGACAGGGTTGGAAATTGGGGCGCAACGAGCTCACGGACGGGGGCCCATGTGTTGGATGAGCCTCCCCAGAAGTGAAGGAAAATAAGAGTGATCTTTTCGCTGGCGTCCGTCGTTTCGGAATTGACGGGGAGGGCAGGGTACGAGCGAACAATGTGAAGCTTCGTGTCAGGTTGGACATGGAGGAATTCGGAGGCGGACTGGAACGCCACTGTGAGAACGCTGGGAAATGGAAGTTCAAAGTGACTTGAATGCGTATTCTTCTGCATTACATGTAATTTCGCATCGTTGATCAGAGTCATCAGTTCGACTTATACTCATTCTCTATCACGTTGAAGCCGAAGTGGTTCGGGAAAAGGAGAGCGAATCTCTCCGCCGCCGAGCACAAGTGCATTGGGGCCTCAATCATAGTGAGAAATTCCGTCAATCAAATATAATTACATTGTAAGAAAATGTGGAGTTAATCTTCATATCGTGTAAGCGTTTGGAATCATTTGAATGTGATGGAAAAGTGGGTCGTGTACTACTTCCATGTAGGGTAGGCAGCCTTGCGCCCTCCGATTCAACGTGCTTGAATATCCCTCCAACACCAATCGGCACGTCAAGTCGCTGCCATGAGCGCTCTCACACAAAGTATTCCAGAGCAGAACCTTGCTTCAAGGGCTTTTTGTTGCGCGAATGCGGGCCACGCGCAAACTCGCATGTCTGCGTGATCTCGACATCCTCCGATCCTGTCGCTCTCTGGGCTCTCGCCCCCCCCTGCGTCACCATAGGTCCGGACTCGAGTGGCTCCTCCGCCGGCTCTGGTCTGTCGACGCGCTCAGCCAGGTCCGCGACCCACTGGCCGACAATCCCATGATGGAGGAGATGGTTCAGCATGAGTCTGTCCAGGTTCCAGCTCTCGAGCTGCTCCTCGCGCCAGCGTCGAAAGTGTCGTGCAATATGCATCATGCGCCTGTGGAACGCCGCCTTTCGGTCATCCGGGGTCATTGACGAGGCGGGAAAGGTCGCGTCGCAGAAGATGCAACCGGTCTTCACGGGGAAGAGATGGTTCATGTGGTCGCACACATGCTCGAACCATGCCTCTTCCTGCCCCGAGCGGAAGCCTGCCTCGCACTCCAGATACTCCCTCATGTAGCAGGGATAGATGGGATTGTCACCGTTGGGATCGTGGGGCGCCGTGGAAACCGACGGGGTCGAGTCCATCCCGCCACATGTCGAAGTCATGTCCGAGTCGGCGTAGTTGCTGGTTGCGGACGACATCAGACTCGCCATGGTTCGACCGTGGCAGTGCACGTATGGAGTGCGGTCGTCCACAAGTTGGCGATCCATGATGGGTGGCAGTCGTGATAGACGCTTTCAGACAGCAAGTGTCAACTGAGCGGGAGGGGGGTTTTGTTGATCGACTACAAGACTTGTGTCCGAGTCGTGGTTCAAATGGTCGACGCGATAGCCTTGTCGAACTGGGCTTAGAGAGGTAAGTTCTTTGCAACATGAACTCTGGCGGGTTGCAGCAGCCGATGGTTTCTTATGCAAATGAGCGCGATGCCCAAGTTCGACTGGCAGAATTGCACTTTGGCTCTCTGGGCAGCAAAAGCCAGGGAGCCCGACAAGGCGTTCTGACTATTGCAACATCCAGTCGTTGCATGCGGAGACAAGGCTGGGTGCGCCTCATGCATGGCAACAGTGGCCAACGGGGTCTGCATCTGCATTCAATGAATGTTCATATTGGCAGCAAGTCGCAGAATGTACGCGATATAGCCAGCTGTATTGGATGCACGGAGGTTGTTCGCGCTGCTGCAGTACACAGTTCCCCAAGTCACCCTTCACGCGTGTCTTGGTTGTACAGCACCAGCGCCGTTCATCGGTGCGACGTACTGTCCCGTGTTACACGGCATGGATATGCAAGGCGGACGAAGCGTCGCTGTCCGAGTCCAGCCTTGTCTAGGACAATCCCCTATGGGGAGCCCAAAGTTGGTAGCCAACGATGTGTTGCCAACGCAGCTTGATCATGGTGTGTAGAGCTTTATGAGAGGGTGCTGCGTGGCGCTTGGCGCATGCTATCCTGGCTGGGGTCAACGCATCATCCCGGACCGTCGCATTGCCGAGGCCTGTTGAACAAATAGACGCACCTGGCTGTCTGCAGAATCACACTGCCACACATCAAGCGACGACAAGACCAAGGTAGAAGCTGCCCCAACAAGCGGGGCGTGACTCCGTGAAGCATCATATCTCATACTTGATCCTTTCTAACATCTTGTCTTATGCCGGGTATACAAGTGTATATTAGACCGCAGGGGTATTTACCCACCAAGAACCTACGTTAGTCCTCCGACCTACAAAGCACTCTTGCCTTGGTAATGACATTACGGTACTGGAGCTGCCCTCCGCTCTCGTCGCCATGCTTGATCACGCCGGGAAAGGCCACGCAGGCGATTTCCCTGCTTCCACTCGCGAGACTCTCCTCGTCCTCGCCCCCAATGTCTTCCATCGTGTCAGCGTCAAAGAGTATGCGCTGGTGCGGCAATATGCGAGGAAAGGTGACGCGTAACACAGCTTTCTGCACGGCGAGCAGCCGTGCAAGCTCTATCGAGTTGTTGATGAGAACACGCAGTCCCGAATCTCGCGTTTCGCTGGGCGTCGCAGTCGTGATGGCGTCCATTATGCGATTAATGCGGTCTAGTACAGAGGACGTGGTAGCCGCGGCGTGCTGTTGCGGTGCTTCCCGCCGGATCAGTGTCAACGTCGCAGAGCGCCACTGGTTGACGGCTTCGTCCGCGCCAGCTGCTTGGTCAGATATTGTCTTTTCTCAGCGGTGTGGTCAGGGGTCGCTTACTGAAAGACCGCAGCATATCCTCCATCTTGCGGAATTGCTCGGTTTGTTCATGGGAAAGGCCAACATAGTACGCCTCGAAGACCATCTCCACCAATATGCTGGACACCAGCGACTGCAAAAAGTACACCTTGGTCAGCTCCTCATACATGGGCACAAGCTCGGCAACTTCTGCCATGGTGCTTTCGTCCGCCTTTCCGAGGTCGAGCTGGCTCCGGCGAAAGTTGATCATGATCCAGTTTTGCAGCCCGTTGCCCAACCGCGCCATGCCGTTGCCAAAGACCTCGTCGCTCGTCGAGCCATCTGTCCTCGTGCTTGTGCTCACAAACTCTTTCAGACCCCGGACCTGGCTTCGTAAGCCACGGATTTCCTCGTCCCTTTCCTTGAGCTCTCTTCGGAGCACCTCCCAGCCCTGTCGAAGCTCGTCTCTTTCTGCCTCTCGGACTTCGACCTCGGATCGTAGTAGCCGCAGTTCAGTGTCCGTCCGTAAATATTGTTGGTTCAGCGCACTGTGTTTTGACTGCCAAAACGTTGTTGTCTCTGACTCGTTCTGGGATAACCGATCCAGCTCCCGCGTGAACTCCCTCTCCATGACCTGCAGCTCGCGCTCCAGTCTTTCAATCTTGTCATCTCGCTCTCTGATCTCTTTGGATGACGCTTTCCCGGTCTCTCGCTCTTTGGGATCCTGCTCTTTGAGGGATCCGCTGCTGCTGCCGCCTTGGTGAGGCTCTTCCATCGAAGAGGTCACGGCGCGCGGCGGCAGAGCGGGCATGCTGTTTTTGCCCCGTGACGAGGAGCCTGGTGAGGAGGGTGATGTGCGGTGCCCATGCGTGCCCCCTATACTGCGACGTTTGTTCTCGGTTGAGGTGCTCATTGTGCTGTGAAAGCGCGCGCTATGACGGGGGGTTGGATGTGGACTGATGACGGCGGGGCGGCATGGTGGCTAGCTACCATGCGCCGGCAGATCGACCTTGTGCAACGCGGATCGCCTGAATTGTTTCCTCTCGTGTGTTCTTTTTCTTTGCGCTGTCTTCAATAGCCGTTCGCGCTCGATATGTAGCTCGGTCGTGCTGTCAGAGGGAGGAGGGGTTCGAACGCGCGCGCCAGAGCTTGATGCACGGTAGCGGATACGGTGGTTTCGCTGCTGCCTGGGTACACACTTTGAGTGAGAGACTGCTCCGTTTCGACAGGATGATCAGTGCAGTAGCAGGCTGATAAAGTTTGGATCGAATTTCTTGCTGGGGTGTTGCCTAATCGTAGATGTCAGTGATCAATGTGGTCATTTCGGTGTTTGGTGTGGGGTTGAACTAGGCTTCCCCAACATGCACGGTTTGGATAAAGGTAAGGTAAAATAGGTACTTCACACGTCTGGAAGCGCTTGTCGCAGAGCAGATGCAAACGAAACTAACAAGTATAGTCTCATAGATTTCTCCTCTTCCCATTGATAAATCATTGCTGCACCATCTTTAGCAAATGGTGATCCAGCGCCATCTCCGTGGTTTGAGGTTAGATACTACTCTGCACAGGGTAGTCAGATCACGACATGCTGTGATGACAGTTCACACTGCACAACGTCCTGGACTCCTGCTCAAAGCCTCAATCCTCGACACGGACCTCAGCTTCAACTTCATACACCATGTCGCCGTCACTGCCCTCGACAGCCTTAGCGCCCATTCTGCACAATGCCACACGATCCACGTCCATACCCTCCATCCACACCTCATCCTCATATCGCCCTACAATATCTCGTGCATCAATCGTCGTTCGTCCCTTTGATTTGCCGATCCCCTTGACATATATGGTGTTCACAACCGTAGCATGCAACAACAGTGGTCTCGCGAGCTCTTCAGCTGACATGAATGATGCAAATCTCCCCCGGACCAACTCGCAAAACCGACGCAAGAGCCCAGAAGGATCTATCGGTGGAGCGTAGAGTACCCTGCATTGTGCGGGTGGTTGCAACGGTTGGATACCCTTGAGAGTGACTTGGAGCTTCTGATCAAGGGACGGCATTGGTGAGCCCAGCTCGACGGCGGCTTCAGTCGCGGGGTTTGCGCGTGCTTCCTCCAGCACAGCCTTCAGACTGAGCCCTCTGAGGGTGCTGACGGCTTGGGTGAGCACCTCATCCTTGAGGGTCATGACCCCAAGCGTGAGATGCACAGTCCCGGGCGGCCGGACTGCGGACTCGGGTACGGCAGAGCTGTGGGGCGCCGTGATGTCGGTCTTGAAGGAGGCAAGCGAGCGCGTGAGCTGTGGGCTCGATAGCGGTATACAAAGGAAATGCGTCGGCATTGGTCGTGGAGGCATGTCGGCTGTTGCTGCTGGACGACGAAGTTGCGATTACGGCTCGATGAAGATGGAATATCTGATTTGAGTAGACCCGCTGTGAAATTGAGCCAACGAATCGTGGTAATCCAACAAACTCCCCGTGTAGACAAGATACAATTGTATGTACAACGCAAACCGAATCTGACGATGCTGACGGTGATGTCCACGATTCCAAACAAAGCTCAAATTCAATCCCGGCACCAGTGATTTGCGTTTACCCGGGACCCCAAACTCCTTTACACTTCGACCATGACGGCAACGGCATTCCTTTGATATGGGTGTCTGGCATCAATTACACTCATATCCAAGTCGTCTCGATTCCTCCGGAATCACATAGCCATTCCGGCGTCTGCTGGCCCAGGCAATGGCCAATGGCCAGCCCATCATCACGGCGTAGAAGGGAAAGAAGCTACCCGGTGCCGTTAGACTATGTCCAGTGTCCGCAACAAGAGTGTCTTGATGACTTACATTGCGGTTTGCCCTCCAATACGTCTGATTTGGCGCCCCCAATCCGCAGGCGCTTTGGCCTTTGTTGAGGGAAGTCTTTCGAATGGGTGCGCCTCCATGAAGCGGCCTACATTGCGCAGCGTCGACATGATGGAGAAGCTGCGTTTTTGCAGAGGACGGAGGTTGATGCGTGTAGCTATCATGTTAGCGACTGGTTTTGTTTTTCTAGTAACGTTTCCGTACTCCAAAGAGTGAGTGGTGATATAGGGAAGAGTAGAGATGGTCTTGATTGTGTGCTTGATCGATTGATACTGAATGAACAGTAAGGACCTGTGTACAGGACAGACATGCTGTCATTATATACCAAATCCATCTATATGCCATTATCATGCCTTCAAGGCAGATGACACCACTCGCTCGAGACTATTCCGCAAGGCGCGCCCTTCCTCACCCGGCGAATCGTCGCTACGCCTTTGCTTTGCGGCAGGGCCGGGGCCATCAGTCATCACATACCAAACATCACGCCACTTGTTGATGGCATGGAAAGGCCCAAAGTAAGGTCCAAGAAGATCGCGGCGAGATCCGACTGAAACCTTGCCTGTCCAAACAACCTGGCATGATGTAGGCGACGCTCCGGGTGGGCCCCCGGTCTGCACGTGCAGAAACATCGAACCATGCCATGGGCAAAGTCGGGATCTTCTTCCCCTGCGACGAATCCTGAGCGAGCCATTAGCACTGCAATTCAATTCAATGGCCCGACTGCGTCTCGACACTTGACACATTCTCTGTCTTTTGACGGCGCGAATCTTGATTTGGTGACACGTGGATTCATTTCCTTCCACTGTAAGCCCGAAGTCCGCCTCAGATGACATGATGATGACTGGCTTGATATGGCTTGATATGGCTTCAAACTCTGAACACCCAGCCTGATCCGGCCAACGGCGCACAGCGTCCTAGTCTCGGGTCGTCCCGGTGAGACCCTCAGTATTGGTATTTCCTTCCGACAAGTGGACGTGATGCCCTGCACATTATGTGGGGGAGTACATGGAACACACATATCACATACCAGATGCCATTATGGTCGTTCTTTGACCGGAGCTATGACTGACTGTCAGGTATACAACCAAAAAAACGTGGCAAGCACGCGACCTGCCCTGCCCTGCGCAGACCTCGGCGCCTCCTCCATATAAAGGAGCACCCGAGCCCTCTCGACAAATCGCGACTTGCCGTTCGCCCTGGAATTCAATGCTGATCTTCCAATCAGGGAGAACCCCCAACAGCAACAACAAGCGAGGGGAGAGTCTTCCACGTCTCCCGACACGTCGTGAAGCATAGGTAGCCAGTCGCGTGCGCATCGTCGGCTCCCCCGGCCCCTCCTGCCGCTCTATGGCCTCGTCTTCGTTCTAACAGTTACGTTAAGGAAAAAGGAATGATCGTGGTTGGGTGCAATCGTGTAGTTCGTGGTCGTCGTCGTCGTCAAAAAGGGGAAGAATAGCGTAGGCTCGAGATCGTTCTCGCCACATACCCTCAGCTGGCCGGCAAAGCGTGCAGCCATTGTTTCTCCTGCTGCACAGCTTGGCCCGTCGTCTTTGCCGATGGACGAGAACGTTCAGAGGCCAACTGGGGACCAGTGATCCGACCCGCTCTATGCGTCTTCCTTCTCCTTCTTGTCGTAGTAGCTGGTGAGAACCCGACGCGCGTCGGATATATCGTCCTTGACGACCTTGATGACGTCCTCGATGCGACTCAGGCACAGAGCCTCGTCGGGCTCTGGAGTGCCATCCACGTTTTCCTTTTTCCCGTAGCGCTGAATCTTCTCGCACCCATCGCGCACCTTGACGAGGCCCAGTGTTGCTGAAGAGCCCTTGAGGAAGTGGCCCCTGGCGGACAGCTCGTACAGATCCTTGGCGTCCCTGGCAGTGTGTCAGTAACCGCGCCATGTGTTGTGTGCAGCAGGCAGTGCCACGTACAGTGCGTCGTCCATCTCTGTGAATGTTTGTTCGGCCTGGTCGAAGAAATCAAAGACGATGGACGAGCTGAAGCTGTGGTCATCCGGGTCGTCCATCTCCAGAATCTGGCTGAATGTAGTCATGTCGACGACGCTCTCGAGGTCGGGCAACTCGTCGTCGCTTTTGAGCTATAGCAAAGACGTGTTAGCCAGGGCCATCGTGCGGCGACACGGAGTGGGCGTTTTGACCAACCTTCTCTTGGGCCGGTGCCATGGCGGGCTATTATTCTCTGTGACTCTCTCCGCGGGGTCGTCGGGAGGGTTCGCGAATTGGGAAGAAGACAGACGTCGTATGCGCGCGCGCCTCGACAGGATCCGATGCGACTCGACGGCGACGACGGTGTCAGGAGCGTGGAGAGGGCTGCAGCACGCAGGCGGAGGAGGTGGGAAAAAGGCAAGTCGGCAAGATGGTCTGCAACGACGAGATGAGACAACAGTGACCGACCAGCCGGCCCACACAATGAGGGACTGACTGACTGACTGACTGGTGGAGTGGTGGAGGATGGGATGCGGCGGTTCGGACGTGGTTGGAGGGGTGCAGGGGACCGACCCGATAGCCACGCCTTACGTAGGTAGTAGTGCGAACCGGTAGTGGTGGATGGCAGCTGTGGGCAATGAGGTAATGAAGAAGTCTGTGAGTAGTTTATTGCCAGCAGCGACTCGTGGATCCGTCGGACTGTAATTGAAAGGCAGTTGGCCAAGGGAAACAATGTCTGGCTACTTATCCGAGGGGAATGAAAATAAGTCACTGACAATTTGCTGTGCAGATAGTCAGAGACGGCGATGCTTGTTGGTGTGATTTGATGATGATGATGCTGACTGTGCTTCTACGTAAGGCAAGGTAGCTTAATAGTCGTCCCAGTCAGGCCTGGCTTGGTGGGGGGAGGGCACGAATGAGCCTAGGGTCTCGATGTGGACAGCGGCGCCGTTTTGGGTCGCGTGGAGTTCGACAAGCGTGTGAGATTGTAGAAGTTCTTGGCGCGCTGCTTGTGCAGCCGACGATCCTCGAGAGACAAGATGGAGCCCTCACCGAAGGTTGGTTGAAAACTTGAAATCCTCACAGCTTCTCCTCATCGTCCGACCAGTCTAGAATGTCCGTGCCAGGCTTCCAGAGCATTTGCCACCACCAGGTGACCAGAGGCCACGACAGTGTGAATAGGGCACGTCGACTATCCAAAAAAACGAACCCAGAGTCCCAGACTAGTCTAGGTAGTAAAATAGCGCGGGCGGTCAAATCTACTGGTGAGGGGCTGCCTCACGTCGCGATGTGACTAATGTGAGCGTCGGGATAGGTACCTTAAGCTGATAGGGCTCGCCCTTTGTGAGTGAAGAGTGAAGACTGGAGCTACACGTCGCTCTTGGCACTCGCAAGGTGGCTCCGGGTGAAGGGCGGGCAGAACGGCTGCAGTGCTGCGTGGTCTTCGAAGCTTTCTGGATGGCTTCGGACGACAAGACACGTCAAATCAGGATTCGAGGCGCGCAGATGACCACAAGGAAAAGCAAGCAAGGTTGCATTGTGAGAGTGAGGGGGTCTGTAACACCAGCAGAGAATGCCCGCATTGTCCTGAGGCTGAACTGAACAACAACGACCAGACGTGATAAGCGCTGCCTGCCAAGCTCGACGTGTTCAGTACTGCAGGTTTGTCACAAGATGCTCGCGCGGGGGCGGCTGGAGTAATAGTACGTAGTCGAGGTTACGGAGTTCTGATGAATAACCGCGGCCGAGTACCTCCAGTCGTTGAAGCGATGCGACCTGCTTCTTCGTCCCAGGCGGAGCAACGACTAGTCCCTGAAGCAAGGATTCTTGGTCTGTTCCAAAGCGCAGTGAATGCGTGACACACACAGTTGCGTGCTTTTACCATTTGAAAGGAAAATGATCATGATATTATATGCTTGATTCGAGGACGATCATTCAATTCGGGTGGCGCCGTGGTCCGTGACAGCAACACTGGGGAGGGATTTAGGGATAATAAGCTCCCGGTGACCTGGGCCAGTATTACGTCGTTGGTTGCATCATCGGGGGTTTCAACAAATTGTGAATTTGTGCTGGTTGGACCCTTTCACGTCTATCCCACGTAACTACACGAGAACCCCCGCCAACACCTGGTGTTGCTTTCGCTGGCGTTGAGGGCTTCACATATGAGCCAGAATTTCACGAACAAATGGTCGTTCTTACAGGCTTGTCGCTCCGAGTCTTTTCTTGACGTTGAGTTTTGAATCATCCTGCTGGTTATTAACTGGGTCAAGCCGTGTAAGGTATGCAAATAGAAGACTAGGCCTAGTCCACCACCAGCCGCGCCCCCTCCTTGAATCCAGCAAAGAACGATCAGCGTCGCCGGCATCCCATCTTCACGATCAGGGCACAAGGACAGCATCTCATAGCTCAAAAGCGCAAAGACCCGGGGCACCTTTGCTTCATGCCTCCATCACCGCGGACACCGTTGCTAGCCACCCCTCCATGCGCTCACCGTCCCACATCAATCTCTCGAGTGCCGCCTCGGAGTGGGCAAGATCTTCACGGGCACGAGAGTAACAGAGCTGACTGCAAATGAATCAGGAGGATCTTGTCCGACCGCTATGTCATACTGAGATCGTCGTTTCGTATACCGGCCACTGCTATTAGAATTTCGAACGTCCTTCTAGAGCACCACCAGGACTGTTGTGGACCCCAATTGCAGCTGACGATACCTACACGCAGAGGACGTCATTGTGCGTAGCACCGTCTTCTCGACGCACGCAGGCCTTTTGCAGGCACCGGATCTTGCGCTGAAGCGTGTCCGATCGTGTGGTTGCACATAGACACTAGTCTAGTCTGGCCGCGAGCAAGTTGCCAAGCACGCGGTGTTGCGTCTTTGTTCGCAGGTGACCTGTCCGGCGTGCGTCTCGGTGAAAGTGTGATTGATGTATTAAGCATTATATCGTAGAGTCATAACAGGAGCTTCCACGCCAGCGGGTCTCGAAACTCTTTGTACAGCAAGTAGGAGCCACGTTTAGAAGATGACCTTGGTGGCCACGCCGAGCAGCCACGCAGCATCACCCCAAGCACTTTCATCCTTCCTAGGCGGCTGGATGTTCTCGCCAGCATAGTTGGTCACGCCCTCCACGTGCCGGAAAGACAGACCGCTGCGACCAGTGGTCTGCGAGGCCGCATCTGTCGACGAGTCGACCTCTTCATCGGAATCCCCGTCATTCTCCTCGACCGAGAAGAGGCGCCACCCAATCATGTTGCTGATCCATGAGGCACCACCCGAGGTCCCGTATTGCACCAACCTCCTCACCGCAGCATCGTCCGCCGCCGAGGTGTCCTGCTCTAATTCTTCCAATCGCTCGTCCAAGTCGACAAAGTCGGGGCCCTCCTGCTCGGCTGGGAAGTAGGATTCCCCATCACGGTCCCCTGGCGTCATCGCCGCGCTCCGCAGGCCGGCCAGGCTATGGCTTCGGCTTTGGGCGCGACTGGCGTGACGACTGACATATCGGCTCCCCATCCTGGAGCCAGCATCCTCATCCAACCCAGCAGCCGAGCTGCCCCGTCGGCTGGCCAGCCTGCTCGCCCTCTCGCGCTCAGCGGCTAGCTCCTCCTCGAGGGCCTCATCATCCTCGTCGCGCATGGCCACGAGGCTCGTCGAGCTCTGACGCGACACGAGCCACGACTGGCCCTTGTATTCTCTCGCCTCCGTACTCATCAAGGCGCCTGTCCGTAGAAGCCAATCGCTGTCCGAGCGGTCGCGCAACTCGAGATCATCCTTTCCGCGGTGCCTGGATGCCATTGACCCATTTTTCTGACCATGTGCGCCGAGAAGGTGCGTCGTGGATTTGCTCTTGGACACATTGGGGACGTGGACCCCTGGGGCTGAGGGTGTCCGTCTGTGACGCGAGCGCGACCGCGGCCCAGCCGGCGAGTGGGAGAGAAGTCGAGGCGTCGTCGGGGCCGACTTTCCCTGCAGGTAGGATGTGCTGCGCTGAGGGGCTAGGAGCGAAGCGTCGTGGAATGCCGACGCGTCGACGTCGTGAATGGGGATCTTGGTGGTGAGTGGAGCGAGGGACAGATGGTGTAGGTTCGTGCTGCTTCGGTTCTTCCGGCGAGCGCGCTCCGCATGAGGGTTGTAGGCGAGATCCATCGTTGCGTCTGTCGCTTTTATTGGCAATGCGACGGGACGGAATGCAGAGTTTATAGACAATGAAGAAGCAATAAATGTAGGGATGGCCCAAGCTATTTGAAAGACGGGGTTCGGCTCGTGCTTGAAGGAGGATTGAATCTGGGGGCGGTTACGGAGTACCTTACGGCTACTCACTGGCACTGCTGCTTGCCTTGCCCCACCCTGGATCGCCCGCCTTAGCGGATGCGTGAACCGCCAGCCGAGGTGAACGTATTGCTTGTGATTTGTGCTGGAAAACTACGGCAATAGGCACGAAATGTACCTCTCTTGAAAGGAGTCAACAGGGGATTGCAGACTCACAATTGCCTCATTTTCGGGCGAGTGTGGCGTGGTGGCTGCATCGCGAGCTCCGGACAACATACATGCTGTTAAGGGGTACCTGGGCAAACCTCCCACGATGCCCCGCCGAGGGGCAATTCCATGTATCTCCCATCACCCAAATGGAAGGGGAAAAAAATTCACAAAGAATCACCAACAACCTCATCTACCCGCCACCCTAGAATTTCCGACGTTGCAGCGCATGCCTGGCTAGACGCGGATCTCAGACAGAGCCCAGCCTGTGGCGCTCGTACCTCATGTGAAAGAAAGCCACCCATATCCTATTACCCCCCTCTCAGCAGCCATGCGCAACCTACGCAATGTGCGCTTCGGCCGGTGGAGCCAAGCCAATATCACGGCTACATGCTGGGATCCTGAGCACGACGAGACCATTTGTGCCGTTGGGCCGACAGAGACGAGCGCTCGCATTGAATTGTTCAGGGTATCAGAGAAGGGCGAAGATCTGGCACACGAACTACTCACGAGCTGGGACTCGCCCAGTCCCAGTCCCGATCTTCTAGCGGACAGGATCCTCAGTCTCCAGTACCAGAATGGCACGGGGTCGATATGCATCGTCCTCGAAGGCGGAGACATTGTTTCCGTCAGCGCAGACGGGCAGGTAGAGATCATGGGCTCGATAGACTCCGGCATCGCAGCGGCACGGTGGTCTCCGGATGAGGAGCTACTCATCATCGTGACAAAGGAGCAGAATGTACTGTTTTTGGGGAGCTCCTTCGACCCCGTGGCCGAAGTCCCAATGACGGAAGAGGACCTAAAGTTGTCCAAACAGGTGTCTGTCGGTTGGGGCAAACGCGAGACGCAGTTTGAGGGTCGTGGGGCCAAAGCACTGCGCGATCCAACGATCCCTCTAAGGGTGGACTCTGGCGTTCCAAGCAAATTCGAAGACGGCGTAACGACAATCAGCTGGCGTGGAGACGGAGCGTTTGTGGCCATCAACTCGGTTGCAGAGGGCAGCCGCCGAGTGATACGGGTGTACTCCCGCGAAGGCGAGCTGGACAGTGCGAGCGAGGCCGTCGATGGCCTGGAAAGCGCACTGAGCTGGCGTCCAGCCGGCAATCTCATGGCCAGCATTCAACGGCTGGAGGACCGGGTTGACGTTGTCTACTTTGAGCGCAATGGCCTGCGCCATGGAGAGTTCACACTGGTCTCGCCCGTTTCAGGCCCTATCCAGACCGTGGACAACATCCGCCTCGAGTGGAATGCGGACTCGACTGTCCTCGCGGTTGTGTTGCAGAGCTGTGTGCAGCTATGGACAATGGGCAACTATCATTGGTATTTGAAAGAAGAGATCCCGGCGCACACAAAAAGCCTCTCCTGGCATTCGGAAAAGGCACTGCGACTGGCCCTGGCCTCGTCCGACAGCCTGCTCTCGTCCGAATACGCTTTTCACACCGCCAGGGGCAGTTGCCATGCTCCCTACGACAACGGTGCCGTGGCAGTCATAGACGGCACTACTGTCAAGCTGACACCTCTCGCTACCGCGAATGTGCCGCCCCCTATGGCTCTGTACGATGTACCCGTCGAGTCTTCGGTTATTGATGTTGCTTTCGGCAGACGAAACCAGTCTTTCGCCGTGCTCCATCACAAAGGCGTTTCTGTCTTTGACTGGCCACTCAAGAACGGGCGACCAACAAAGCCCTCACTTCTTTTCGAAGCTCCGTTCAGCGCTGTGGACATCCCTGGCGACCACATTCCCTTGAGGATATGCTGCGCCTCTGAAACCACGTTCCGGATCTCAAGCTATCTGCAGACTTTTGAGCTCGAGCTGGCATGCCGTAGCTTACGAGTGCTGGCGGACCGACCAACACTACTTGCCTTTGCCGCTCACGAGGACGACAGTGGCGTGCAAGGCTATGGGCAAGACCGGAGTGGGAAGCTCTACCGCCTTGAGGAAACGGAGGATTCTATGATCATTCCTCAATTTCCCACACAGTTGCCATTCTTCGAGGTCACCAAAGTCGACGAGGTTACGTTGGCCTTTGGCCTGTCCAGGGGTGGGCATCTGTATGCCAACTCACGGTCGTTGGCAAAGAACTGTACATCGTTTGTCGTCACCCCGAGCCACCTCATTTTCACGACCAACAACCACTTTGTCAAGTTTGTCCATCTTGTTTCGAATGTAGATGGTAAGTCATTACACATTGCAGACCCTGTATATGAGCGTGTACTGATTCCGCCTAGACCTCGAGGTACCCTCAGATGATCCGGAAAAGGACGAGCGATGTCGTAGCGTGGAGCGCGGCTCTCGTCTGGTGACTGCCATCCCCACCAACATGAGTATCGTCTTGCAGATGCCTCGTGGCAATCTAGAGACAATCTTCCCGCGCGCCATGGTGGTGGCTGGCATACGGACCCTAATCGAGGAAAAGAACTACGGCCGTGCATTCTCTTACTGCCGAACGCAGCGAGTGGACATGAACATTCTCTATGATCACCAGCCTGAGCAGTTCATGGCCAACGTCGGCTTGTTCCTCGATCAGCTGAAGGAGGTAGCACACATTGACCTCTTCCTCTCAGCACTCCGGTACGTCCTTTTGCATGCTTTTTTGGCCATGACTCCCGTATCTGACAAAACACAGAGCCGAAGACGTCACGCAGACAATGTACGAGAACACCAAACAGCAAAAGCCCAGCGCGCCCTTCACCCCCAACCTCGCGCCGAAGCCGGCCAGCTCCAAGATCAACACAGTCTGCGACGCAGTTCTCAAGGCCCTCCAGTCACGCAAGGCAAGCAACCCCCAAAACATTATCACAGCCCATGTCTGCAAAGATCCTCCCGCGCTGGACGATGGCCTGCGTCTCGTCGCGGACCTCATGCAAGAAGACGAAAAGGTGGCAGAACGTGCCGTTGAGCACATTTGCTTCCTCGTCGACGTGCATCGCCTGTATGACCACGCACTGGGTCTATACAACCTCGACCTGGCGCTCCTGGTCGCGCAGCAAAGCCAGCGTGATCCGAGGGAGTATGTCCCCTTTATCCAAGATCTCCACCAGAAGCCTGAGCTGCGACGTAAATTCGCCATCGATGACCACCTGTCTCGTCACACCAAAGCTCTTACCCACCTCCAGAGCTTGAACGTCTTTGACGAGCTGTGCAATTACACCACCAAACATGCTCTCTACCACGACGCGCTTCGTCTCTACCGGTATGACACGGCTCGTATAAACACCCTCACCGATCTGTACGCTGCCTATCTCGAATCTACTTCGCAGTACCGCGAGGCGGGCCTGGCCTACGAATCTCTCCAAAACTACAAAAAGGCCACCTCGTGCTACCAGTCCGCCGGAGCATTGTGCTGGCAAGAATGCCTCTTCACCGCGCAGCAACAGCCCCTCAGCACCGATGCCATGGCCGACTTGGCAAACACCCTCGCCGACGCACTCTGGGAGGCCAAGGACTACGAGGCGGCCGCCACAATCCACCTCGACTACCTCTGCTCCGTCGAAGCGGCCGTCCGCTGCTTATGCAAGGGGTACCACTTCCCCGCCGCCATTCGCCTCGTCCTGCAGCGCGGCCGACCCGAACTGCTCACCACCGCCGTCGACGCCGGCCTCGCCGAAGCCCTCGGGTCGACCACCGAGTTCCTGGCCGACTGCAAGGCCCAGCTCACCTCCCAGCTGCCCCGTATCGCCGAGCTGCGCCGGAAAGCCGCGGAGGACCCGCTGGAGTTCTACGAGGGCGACCGCACCGGCGGCATGGATATTCCCGACGACGTCTCCATCGCGGCGAGCTCGCGCATCAGCACGAGCGCCAGTCTGTTTACCCGCTACACAGGCAAGGCGGGCAGCGTCGGCACCCTCGGAACTGGCGTGAGTCGCGCGAGCAGCAAGAACCGCAAGCGGGAGGAGAAGAAGCGCGCCCGGGGTAGGAAGGGCACGGTGTACGAGGAGGAGTACCTGTGCAACTCAGTCCGACGCTTAATCGAGAGGGTCATGGCGACAAAGAACGAGGTGGAGAGGCTCGTGTTCGCTCTGGTGAGGAGGGGCATGGCGGAACGCGCGAGGGCTGCGGAGGCATTGATGGGGGTTGTCGTGGCCGCATGCGAGCGGGCCGTGCACGAAGTCTTTCCTCCGTGGAACGAGGGCGGCGTCGAGCCACACCAGCACGCGGAAGCACAGGCTGGCGGCGGCGGAGGAGGAGGCAGTGGTGTCTTTCAGGAGTTCGTGGTGGAAGGGCGGCAGACAGCTGACGCGCCCCTTGTCACGGGCATGAAGAAGCTGCAACTTCTTGGATCGTAGAATAGTGAAATACCACATACATTCCTTCCATGGCCAAAAGATACAGATATCATCGCTATGTAAAATATGTCCCGTGGGGTGAATAGGTACAGAACCCTTCCTTCTATATCCGCCCCCGCCCTCCAATGAGGCCTCCCGATTCGAAGAAGAACAGGATGCCCTTCAAAAGGGGGTGTCTTATCTCATTTCGTAGCCTCGTTTCATCCATCCTGCTTGGCCGTCGTCGTCTCTTCTTTACCATTATCGCTGTCGGCGCTCGCTGGCCTTGCGGTCTGCTCGCCAGATGCGCGATCTTGACCCTGCTCGTGCTCCTCCTCCTGCTCCTGTCCGCCTTCCAGCTCGTCCTCCTCCTCCTCGTACTCCTCATATTCACCCTCTTCAAACTCCTCGCCCTCCTCGGGAAGGAGACCATTCATTCGATCCCACACCTCTCTTCGAATCTTGTCTTCCTTGATCTGCCTCGCGC